CCAGCAATTAATATAAAACTTCAGTCATTATTTGATATAAATCATGGATTGTGTTTGCTGGCAAGGTCAATGTCTCGACCATAGAATTTGAAAACTATTGACTGTTGGTATTGTTGTATCGTCACCTCGTTTGTCAATAATTTACCTCTTTTTAGAAGCATGCTCAAATGAGAGAGAGAGAGAGAGAGAGAGAGAGAGAGAGACCCATATGCAGGTGCTAAGAACATATTGTTACATAAGTAAGGGAAGTTTGAAAAGTAAAATTGATTATGTGTATCATAAAGTTTTATTGTTTGGTTACCAATAAGTCTTTTTTATGTCAAATATCCACATATGAAACTAATTTGTCAGATTTTTATTTATCTAATATTTCAAGTTCTCTGGGAGTCGCCATGTAAATGAAAGTAACATTTGTAAATATATAATACGTCTGTAAAATATCTGAATGTCAAGTTGAATGGCAAAGCAAGCGTTTTCCTCTTCTCATGTGAATAAGATTTTGAATAAATTCTGCTTCATATGAATACAAAAATATTAATTGACAATACGTTGTATCTAAATGTCGAGCTGAAGGCCACAGAACGTGTTTCCTTCTTTTCTTTTCACGTATAGGATTTTGGACAACTTTGCTCCATATGAATACAAAAATATGTCTACTAATGGACTTTTATGAGAAACACTGACTTTTACACTCGACTCTTTAATTGGCCATTTAAACATTCACATCTACGAAGGTACAGAATAGATAATACTGTGGTTTCATCAATATTCGTTGAGCACCAATTTTCATGGATTTCGTTGTTGAGTAGATCCACGAATTCAAATGTTCATTGAATTACTAAATATGACATTCATTTTTATAGGCAATGCTTTTGTCCACGAAATTACGTATCCTCAAAAATGTCTGTTTTACAAAATCCACGAAATTTGATGCAAACGAAAATTGATTAAACCACAGTAGAAAAGAATTTTTCTAGTGGTCATGGTAATGGTGTTAGGGGCACTTGTATGGGAAGGACTGGATTTAAGGGTAGAATGGTTGTCGTTTTCTTCAATGACAACTTAACTCTGCTTTAAAGTAGCCCGTTATTTTCGTTGAATTAAATGTTCAGCTAAATATCTATATTGTAAAAGAACTTCCGTACACTGTCCTAGTGTGAGAGTAATTCGTCAACTGAAAAAGTCAGCACTTCTCGTAAAAGTTAAATGGGTACCCATGGGAATTCCAAAAGATTGTTGGATGACATTGTCTCCAAAAACTACATGGATATGGTCAATTAGAAATCCAAGCATCTTTTAATATCACCCTGAGAGAACCTGTGTGTACAATCATTATTACATGTTGATAAATTGCAAGTTAAGTTATATTCGAAATTGAGCTTTTTTGTTAATAATAGATGCAATCAAATGCATTTTTTATTACCGTGAATCAAAAGATCCCCGTGGTATCTTGTTTTTGTCATGTCTAGTTGTCTGTCTGTTGTCAGCTTTAACCAAGCCCTTAACTATTGCGCTGTAAGAGGCAAGGCGTTAGTATTAAACATGAGTGTTCATTTTGACAAGACCTTTCCAATGGTGTAGAAGTTTTGATCATGTTACCTCAACTGTGACTTTGCTACCCTTAATACATCTTACAAGTGTATACCATTTCAGTCTAGGTCCAACTCCAGAATTGTGTTATCATCGGGGGCATATGATGGGGCGGTGTTTCACAAGCACATCTTGTTTCATATCATATCCTATCCCCTAACCTCCCGAGGCACATTATTATTTTACTGGAGGGGTAGGGGAGGCATTGTGCGTTTATGTTCATAATTGTAACGAACCTTTTGTACAAACAAATGGCCATCTCTCTGATACTGATTTTAATTAGGCTGTTGATCAAATTGTTATGAGATGTCTTGAAAAGCATGGTTTTAAAATGGAAAGAAATTCAAACATCAAAAGATATGATTGTAAACCAGTATGGGAAAACTTATTGATTACATTGTAATATTTTTATTCTCAATGGTAGATCCAAAGGTGACTCAAATGGTGAATATACATGCAAACAAACAAGTGTTATAGACTATTGTATTTCGAATTATGAATTTCTAAAATATATTTCTGATTTTCAAATATCAGGATTTTCTACTTTATTATCTGATGTTCACAACCCTTTAGAGGTTTCACTAACCTCTGAAAAAGAAAATTATTCGAAATTAAATAACCAGCAAAAACAAATAAAAGAGATCGCAAAAAAAGATCACTGAGAAGCAAGAAACATTTCAAAACACCATAAAAGACAAAATAAATGTAATAACACTGCTAGAATACGAAATCAGAAACACATTAGCAGGAAACGTCACATCGGATTTTATAGACATGTTGTTGAACGAATTAATGACATATTGGTATCAAGTGCTAAAGAGACTTTTGGTAAGAAAATAATTAATACAAATAAATGTAAGAAAAATTTTAAATTTAAGAAACCTTGGTTCACAAATGATTGTAAAAATGCTCAACAAAACTTTAGAAAAGCAAGAAGGTTAAAATTCGAGAAATCAAAAAGAAACTAGCTAATTTAAGAAGAAAAAACTCTAAAGAATACTGGAAAACCCTGAACACAAACTGCTATAAGCAAAGATGTAATGCTGATTTGAATGATTTTCTTTACATTTTATATAGAATGCTGTAATGAAAATTATAATGAACAAGAGTCAGGGTCCACAGTACTTACACAAGAAGAGCTTGATATTTTTTTCTGATGTTCAGCTCAATCATGAAATTAACCAAACAAACAACACATGATGAAGTAATAATATGTTGAAAAATAACAAGTCCTATGGCGATAATAGAATCTTAAATGAATATCTTAAAAATACATGTGACTGCATGTTGAATTTATACAATGAAATGTTCAACAAAATTTTGACTCAGGTGTAATACCCACTCAATGGGTCTGTGGAACCATATAATCCCAGTATAAAAAAATAAAGGAGACAATACTGATCCTAAGAATTATAGACCTATTACACTGCTGAGTTGTCTAGGAAAGCTATTTACTGCAATTATTAATGAACGATTAAACTAAATGCTGATAATTTATTATTCATTTAGGAAAATCAAGCAGGTTTTCGCAGAGGTATGGGTACAATAGACCATATGTTTTCATTAAATTCTCTTTTAGAACTTTTTAAAAGGCACAAAATGAAACTGTACTGTGCATTTATTGATTTTAAGAAAGCATTTGATTCGGTTTGGCATATTGGATTTTGGAATAAAGTTTAAATAATATTGATGGAAAATGTGTTATGATTACAAACAATATGTATAAAGGTATAAAATCAAAAGTAGTAGTGATTGGAATTAGATCAGAAAAGTTTGAATGTAATATAGGAGTTTGAGAAGGGGAAATTTGTCACCATTTCTATTTTCTTTGTACTTGAATGACTTTGAGGAATTTTTATCTGGAAACAAAGTTAAAGGTTTATCTTGTTTGTCAGAAAAACTCATGAGAGAACTTAATCTCTACTTACAGCTTTTTGTATCATTGTATGCTGATGATACTATTTGATATCTGAAAACCCAAATGATTGTCAGTACATGCTAAATACTTTTTCTAAATATTGCAAGAAATAGCACCTTAAGGTTAATCGTAAAAAGACAAAAGTTGTAATATTTGGTAAAGGGAAAAAGAATGGCCCTTTTACATTTAAAGGTTCCAAGCTTGATATAGTTGATAATTTTAAATATTTGGGTGTTACATTTTGTAAAAGTAATTCTTTTAATCTAAATACCAAAGAATTATATTATAAGGCTACTAAAGCTGTGTATGGTGTTCTTGGTAGATGTAGAAAAACATAACTTATCAATTGATTGTAAAACAGACATGTTTGATAAAATTGTCAAACCAATACTTTTATATGGATGCGAAATGTGGGGTTTTCACAATACTAAACTAAGAGAGAAATTACACCTTAAATTTTGTAAACATATTTTGAGCTTGAAAACATCAACACCAAACTTTATGTTGCATGGAGAACTTGGTAGACACCTTTTATTAATTGATATTAAAGTTAGAATGATCTCATTTTGGGATAAACTCATTTATGCTCAGTGCTCTAAATTGTCTGCAAAACTTTTGTGTGCATTGAAATTATATAAGAATCCATGGTGTGATTGTGTACAGAAAATTTGAAATGAATGTGGATTGACTTATATTTGGTATGGAAACTCAATTAGTTTATCTTGGCTTAAAATAAAGTATATATCACTCTTTTAGATCAGTTTAAACAAACATGGTTTTGTGAAGTAAAGCGAAAACTTCCCCCATAGCTTTGAATTATAGAATTTTTAATGAATCATTAATGTTTTAAGATTATTTTTTGAATTTGCCTCCCAAAAAAAATCCTTGAATTTTGTTTATTTAGAACTGTGAATACAAAATTACCAATGGAGACTGGTAGATAGTTTAAAATTCCTAGAGAAAACAGAATTTGTAAATCATGTAACAGCAATGACATTGGGAATAGATTTCATTTCTTTTTTAGATGCACTGATGTGTCTATAAAAAACTCAAGAGTCATGTATTTGTCAAAATATTTTTTTTTTGAATCCACATATTTTGAAATTTAATATGCTTTTTAATGTGTACATTATAATTGAGAGCGTTAGCTCTCTTGGTTGATATTACTCTGTTATCCCTTCTTCATGCATGTAATATTTCATGTTAATTATACTGTACATATTTTCTCTTCACTGTTTTGTCAGTTATGAGAATAAAGTTCAAGTTCACCCTGAATTCACACCCTTGTGTGGATTAACTAATCAAAGGGGCTAATCGGCTACTTATGCCTTCCAGCTGTGCCCTTTTTATTTATTTCTAGACACGGATAAAGGGTATGGCTCAGGAAAAAGGCATAGCGCTGAAAAAAAGATATAGATCGCATAATTTTTATTTCCGCAAACTGTTAACCATAACCCGCTATTCTAAATATAGAATAACTGTGTTTAATCTTTTAAACTATCATTGAACAAGGAAGAAAAATAACATGATATTTGGGTGGGAGTTCATTTTGAAACTTTATTTTTGTTTTGTTGTTACATTTGGATACGGTATGTCAAATTTAAATTCATTTTATTTTATTTCAGACACATTTTCAATCATTATCTCAGAAAAATAAGCATTCTTTACGTTTATAATGCGTGCATTTTTACGTTGAATTGTATGGTAGCATATTTTTGCTCCTGTAAGAAAGATGATTTATGTTAACATTTGAGAAAAGTATGTCAACATGCAACATTATCATGTCTACGTGCACAAAAATATGACATGCTAGGTACTAAAACACCTAATTTTAATGTTGGTGTACTTATTTACTAACGCCTGAATATGACATCATACAACCAACCAATATTCAATACAATAAGGTTGACATGCAACTTGTTTATTTTATCAACTTATTAGTGTCAAAATGCGACATATTTATATCAATATGCTAGTTATATATTGATTATTATGGTGACATATTTTTGCCCCATACATACAAGATAAATTATGTTACAAATAACATGCAGCATAATTATGTAGAAATGCTTTATATTTATGTTAACATTCAGCATAATTATGTTGACATGTAAGTTACCAATCGTACTAGAAAATAAAATTTAAATTAGCGTTAATTTACTAACTAACCTAGCGCCAGTATCTGACATCAAACATGCAACATAATAACACGTATGTAGATTCGCAACGTTTTATGTCAATAAGCAAGATGATTATGGTAAATTGCAAGTTATTTAAGTTAATATGTATGTTGATATGCAACTTATTATCGTGCATGTTGGCATAAAAATACTCAGTAATGCGTGTTAAAATATAATTCGCCTGTTGACATACGTCGCATGACTACATAATTATCTTGCATGTATGTTGTCAGATATATGCGTTAGTTAGTAAACTTACCTATGTCTAAATAATATTTCAAATGTGATTTTAACTTGCATTTCAACATAATAATCTTGCTTGTAGACACAATTATCTTGAATAAGACATAGTTTTCTTGCATGTTGACATATTTCATCTTTAATGTAGGTGCAGAAATATGCCACTTTACAAGATATTCATATCATCTTGCAGGATTCTAGTATTTAGTCTATGTCTACATGCCTAAATGTACCTTGTCTCTGATGAGTATATCAGGTTATAAACTAACCTTTCTATTGACGCATTGATTTAAGAATCAAACAGATAATTAAATACCTGGCCAATATGGAATTCCTTTCTTTTAAAACCTTATTGGACAGCCAGGTTGTTTAACACTATTACATGTATTACTAGCTTTGATTTCGTGATCTGGTGTAACATCTGGCTTTTGATAATGTACCCTGACTTACTATGTATCTAAACCGCCTCATGATGTTACAGAGTCTGTATTAACGAGGTTCATACAAAAGGATTTGTACTTGATGCAATACAAAATAAATATATATTTACCATTTGGATTCCATGTCATTCATTCAGTACTAGTAATCACCTTTAACACGTACACACTTTTCCGAACATGAAATCCACTCCTGATATGCTTCCCTATATTCCTCTTTAGAGAGATCCTTCACAAACTGATGACTTGTTGAAACAGTGATTCGTCTTGAGTAATAACGTATTCCAGGTAATTGTCTTTAAAGGTTTGTGAAGAGAAAAGTTTCGGAGAGACAGACCTGGGGAGTAGGTACACTGCAGGGTGAGGAATGACAATAACCCACTCTTTACTGAGAAAATCTGTCATTAATTTTGGCTTTGTGCTGTAGCAATGTCGTGCAACAAGAAGAGACACTTGATGCCAGTTTTTGATATTTCTTTCAAAATTGCTGTTTCAATTTATGCAAAATTTAATGTACATATTTTCTGAAACACTTTTTTTCTTGGGAATGGGATATAAAAACACCACTTCTTCCCTATAGCATAAAGAAGTCTTTGTGTTCTGACGGCGTTTAGCAATAATTCGACGCTTTCCATGTTTCGTCATCCATACTTTATTATTATACTTTCTTGCCATTGAAAATAATGTACCAACGTTTCATGTCCTTTTACTTTATCTGAAAATAAACGATTGTTCTTTTTTTAACATGAAACAAGGATAGATTTTTGCTTCTCATTTAAATCAAAGTACTCATGGGAGTTGAACATGGTGTAAATAAAATCTTTGATCGGGAGGTTAAGTGACAAGTTACATGTATTAATTAATATTATGTCTGTATTTTCAAATACAGACAACTGTTTCACATTTTTTGAGTTGGAACTATCTTGATCGAGAAAGACATTCAGAGGCATTGAATAGCAAAAAAAAACCCATGGGCCATTATGCTTGCCTGCCTACATTAGTTCTTTTTTTTTATACCCCCTGCTTGAAAAGCGGGAGGGAATTTATTAATCGTGATTTCCGTCCATATGTTTGTTACACTTTAGGTATACCAAACTCTTATCCGCAACTCCTCTAAAACCACTGAACAAAATTTTCATAGAATCTTTATTAATATTGCCGTTGTGCTTCTTCTATTACTTTTTCATCCTACACATATTTTGCGTTTCCCATTGCAAAACATGCACACTGCCATTATATTCATATTAGAGGCGGTTGATCATTTATATCACTGCTCACAAGTCTTCAAATTTGTAATATATTTTTCCTTTGCACCTTTACCCATGTGTTATGAAAATTTCAGCTTCGCAGGAATAATATCAATGTTGAAAAATGTCGATTTTAACACAGCATCCCTTTAAGAGCTAACATGTTTGTTATATAAAACTTCTCTGTGAATAAAAATGTATTTCAATATTGTCAAGAAAAGAGCAAGACCAAGTTAAAAACAAATATTTATTGACAAAACATAAAAACAGTGGTATATGTGAGAGTTTGTGTGCGTACAAATTATCTGGTTTGTAAATGATTTTTTTCTTTTATTAAAAAAATATACTTCATTTTGTTGTTTTTAATCGCGAGTTTACGAAAACATCGGTGTCCGTTCATGGTTTTGATATTTATAACAGAATACTAGTTTTACCGCTTTTAGCAGGTGATACTGCTGATTAAGTAATAAATACGCATGTTTCCTAAAGTCTTTATGCATTAACGAATTCAATTAAACCAAAAAAATGTTCATGAAAATTTTGAATAAGACTAAATTTAACGTTTGCCGTCAGTATGTTTCAAGTTGTCGCTCGTATCTCTTTCAGTGTTTGACGCTACACTAAAAATGAGTTCCATTACGAAAAACTTTCAAGGTTCTTTATAATTTAGTTTTACATATGTACTTTGGACGAAATCTAATATTCAAAATAAGATTACTTTATCATTACATTTACTTACATTATGAAAATTAGATTAATTCAGGAGAAAATGACATGAACTATTTGTCGCGGATGTTTATGCATGTTTTCTGTTGAATATCATCGGAGTAAATCAGCCGACACAGTAGCCTCGCTTTCGTCTCTATGTAATCAACAGAAATTACTGCGCATGTTAAATACGTGATGACCATGGGAGATTGAACATAGTTCAACTCCCAAAAATGGGGTATTGCAGAGATCTTTATTTAACCGAGGTCTTTTGACAGGATTTTATGAAATGCTCTCATTGATATCCCAACTAAAATTATACCAGCTAAGTCCTCAATAATGTAGCTTCCACTTCTCTCATCTTATTATAAGCACTGTCTCCTAAATCTTGAAATTTCTTCACCCATGCATCTGGAACATTCTATAAGGCAGTTCGTATTCATAAATATTGTGAATTTCTTCGCATGTTTCCTAAGTGTTTTTTTTAGTAAAGCATGGGCTTTTATGCAGATGCTTGCTTTTCACCATGATTAATTAATAGGGTATCACATCGAAATTATGATTTCACAGACAACTTGTCAAGCTTTAAAAAAGCAACACAAAGCAGCAGAAATAATGACACGAACGCTTCTCCTGCCAGAGCTGTTGACAGAGATATCACAACATGTTCCTCTACAGGGGCAGACAACCCGGCTTGGTGGTATGTGGATTTAGAGGAAATAAAAAGCATACATGATATACAGGTTTACTTTTATGGAACAGACACAGCAAATGGTAAGTATATAGAAGAGAATCGAAATTGCAAGTATATCAAAATATATCCGTGCATTTTATGAAATTTAATTTACCAAAGGAAAGAAAAAAAAGTCATCTGGAATTTAAAAAAAAAACTTTCTTTTACTTGCTCCTATCCAAATGTAATTAAACAGACCCATTAAAAAATAGAAATGTTCAAATTCAGCATTTCACAATTTATATTACAAGTTATTGTTCAAGTATATCATACAGTTTCAATGATTCAATGTTGCCATTATGCAGGTGTATAATCAAACAATTTTGAACATAATTTAAAAATCTTTATTTATCTTTAAGCTGTAGTAGTTTTGAATACTTAGACACCAAGCAAATTCAAAAAAATTATAATACTATCTAAAAGGGTCTCACTGATTTCAGTGAAATAATTTCCTTGGTATATATGTTATTGTTTTCTGTCCATCGACACAATCAAGCCCCTGATATGTTTCACGTATTATTATTATTTTTGTTCCAGGGTTCAAGTTAAAAAAGGTTGGAATCAGCGTGTTCATTTTTCCAAGTGAATTGCAGATTAAATCCTGTCTGACATAATTTAGGATAAAAAAAACTATCAAGTACTTAAAAAACAGTTTCTTGGTAGATCGTGCAGATCCATTCATCCCTTGGGAGTAATGAGTAGACAAAAACCATTTGATGGCTAGTTTTTTATTTTCAAAATTTATTTGGTAAAGATTAAGTTGTTAGGACTAATTTAGTAGATTAATATGATTAACATTAACAAGGTCTAACCCAACCAATATATAAATCTTTTATGTTATATTTGTTATAATAATTAATGCCTACACCACAGGAGATATATAGATCAAATGCTTTAAGGAATGGAAAAATTATTGAAATCTTTGAATCAAGGTTGACATGATTTTCTTACACCCTAAACTGTTTATGATAATTGATATTACTTGACGGGTGTATCATTCTGTGGCGGGGCACTTTATTCAAAGTATAAAAAATAGGGGAAAAATCCAACTGAAAGTTGTTGTGAAGTTTATATTTGTTAAATTTATAGCTACATTTTGTAGAACAACGACAGAGAGAACTGATTTACGGATACCAACTTTATATTTCAAACACAACTGACTTACGTAGCTTAGACATGATGTATCATTGTTACAATCACAGTGGGCCTACCTTGCCTGACTTGATCTCGACACACGTTTGCACAACATTTGGACGATACGTCATCTTCTACAATGAGAGAATTCCTGGAGTGACTTATCCTAATTCTTATGGAGTGATTCAAAAATTTACATATGTTCAGTTATGTGAAATCATAGTAAATGGCAAGTCATAAAAATACGTTATACTTAAAAATTAATTACACGAACGGTTCTCTCATTATTTGCATCCACAAATACACTATATTTACATTGATTTCCAGCTTTTAATACATTCATTAAACTTAATTCATCTGATAAGTATGTTATTTTATATCACATGATTTTTTTTATTTGAAGCGGTCCATTTAGGCTTATGTTTTTTTTAAAATTAATTTACATGCACACGCATGATTTCTGACTTATGTTGAATAAGTATACATGCTTATAAATTACTGTTGTATTTTTTCCATGGAAAAAATATAATTTTTAACTATTTCTGTTCATTCCAAAATATATGCACCCAAACTACAGTTTTTTGAAATACTGTTTAAAAAATTACAAATGGTTGAGAAATATGCAATCTTTGCTGCCTTGCATCCAACTATTAATCTTTTCAAATATTTACTTGATAAATCGGAGAAGAAATCATACATGGATACCAAATACTGTTGTTTGTAGAGAAGGATTTCCCCCTTTGCCAGCTTTCCCACCGGAAATCGTACTCTAGAATAGGATTTTTCTCAGAGGGAAATCTCACACCAGAGCCAAATTTCCCCCTCTTTCTTTCTCAGAGTAGGATGTCCCCCCCTCGTTATATATAGATAAATTTAAACCACAGCCGCAATATTTTTATGAAAAAAGATAAACGACAAACATTTAAGGTATTCTTCGTTAATGTTGTAAGAATTTTCTAAGCATATATTTCAAATGATGGAATCGTAGCCTAATTATTTAGCATTAAGAAAATGTAAATATTCCGAAAATATGAAGAAGCAAACAAAAGACGGATGTCTGGTTTGGTATATATTTTTGGACCTATTTAGGTTGTAAATGATAAACTTTCTAAAATAATAAGAAATTGTACACTTACTACGGTATTCAAATTTCCACCTTTCTGTAACCATCCTTATGAATCGACACATTTTTTGTCAAATTAAATCTCCTTAGATCCCAATATTTCAGAAATTGTAATGACAAATTAAAACTTTTGCATTCAATCTTGTTAAGTTCATTTTACTTATACAAACTGGACTTAAGTTGTAATTTTCAAAATATTTGACAAAAGTTACATGGCTAAAATTTCATTTTGCACCTGTTCAGCTATGAAAATAATATATTAAAAAAAATAATAATTAAAATTTCATTTCATTTTTCGTATATGTATGTTCAATACATCTGATCACCTTTTTGAAAAAGGTCCCATTATGTGCCAGCCATTCCCCCTCAAAACATAAGTAGAGCAATTATACTTCATTGGGGGGAAATTGGTTCTGGGAAAATTGCACTCTATAACTATCACACAGAGTAGGATCCCCTCGGAAAATTGACTCAAGAGCCAGTTTTTCGGAGGGGAAAGATTTTTTAGGGGAAAGCCTACTCAGCAAGACCGGGTCTCTACGATTTATTATACGTAGGAACATTCGACACCTAAATGAGAGGGCTTCCTGTCATACCACATTTTATCTTATATGAAATTACATTTACATTGAATATTTCTTCAGGATGTGATTCTCCTGGAACGTATGGAGATAATTGCTTTCAGAGATGCCCATCAAAATGTCAAGAACAACGCTGTCACATTATCAACGGAACCTGTTTGGGTTGTACGGAAGGATGGAAAGGAGATAAGTGCGAATATCGTAAGAGCTTTCACATTTAAAAAACCTTTTCAAGACAAAATTAGATTGTTTTATTAAAAGATATACGAAAACTTGTTATTTAAAAGATATTCGAGGGTTGATACAAAACTGATCTCAAAATTGTTAAGCAAATCTTTAAAAAGGAGGATAAATTGGTTATACTGAAACCATTCTTTTCAATTTTTTCAACAAATTTATTTATTTACTTTTTTACTTTGTATTCCAAAAATAAATTGAAACAAATTATATTAATCTCACTTATTATGCAACTTAATAACACTGGCACCTGATCCAACCTCTGATGTTTTGAAGGTCCGTGTGTGCGCCGGTCCTATATTGAATTGTTTAATGGAGTTTTGAGCTCATAGAATTTTCGTTTGCTCCACATATTTTATAAGTAGGTCGTGTGATGGGATCAGTAACGTTGTGAATTAGTGTATGTATTTAAAGGAGCAATAATAACAGTTATTTTCTTACTGAGTGAGTCAGACTCTTTGTGTTAATGAAACCTTTTATATGAATTTGTTTTATACTATAATTTGTGGTCACTTTATTTATTTTGTGAGAAAGATTTTTTTTTACGAATTTAGAATAAAATTCCCAAGAGAAGCATAATGTTGCACACTTTATTATCATAGTTATAAAATGAACAAAGCTCTGAATAGTAAACTCAAACTCAATTTTGTTTCTCCTCCTCAATGTTATGTTTAATGAAAGGACCACGGGTTAAATTAGGATACAGAATTAGAGTCTGGGCAAAGGAGTAGAGTACAGGGCTAATCTCAGGGTACAAAGAACATAAAGTTTTCTGAAATAGATTATATTTGAAAATTTTGAATATACATGTATTTGGTATTTGCATTTTAGGGCCCAAGGAAGCGAAGCCTCGTGAATTCGAATTTGCTAATATTGTTTTTATATGATGATAAAATTAAATTGGATGCATAGGTAGATGATGCTGAAATTGAATGTACATGTAGATTTTTATATTCTGAATTAACATCAAGTTGACATTTCCGAATTTCTCCATTTTTTCATGAGAGTCAACGCTCTTTCTTCTAATTCATGACGTTATGCTATTAATGATACTTAGCAATGAGAAAATAGAGTATGTAAATTTTGCATCTTTTAAAAATATTTTTACCAAAAATTTAATAAAATCGGTTCGATATATCTTGAAGTTCGTAATACGAAAGTTTAAAAGAAAGATTAATGTAATAACTTGTTAAAATTCTAATTACTTGCTAAATCTTGAACAAAGTACAAGAGTTCTTTCTACGTATTCCGGTTAAGTTTTAGGTTTAATCTCATCTTAATTCATAACATTTATAATTATATTATTGGTAAATATTTTCGAGGATTCCTTTTTAATCAAAATTTTATTTCAGCTTATATGTTTCGATTTCATTTCATTAAAGCGTGTCCAGAGGGGTACTATGGATTCGAATGTAGACCTATCTGTTCAAACAACTGCTTAGACAACAGAATCTGTAATCATGTGACTGGGTACTGTGACAACGGCTGTTTTGATGGATGGTCTGGTGGACGTTGTAACATAAGTATTTAGTCTAACCAATTAGCTTTACAATCTATTCTTTCGGAACAAATTATAATTGAATTTAAAATGATGTTAAATTTTTTACTTTTACTGAAATATTGTCAATTTTAAGCCCAATCTTATATTATTTTTCTAAACATTCACAATATATTTGATTTATATGTCAAGTATGAAAAACAAATAAACAGTTAATTTAATACGTCATATAATAAAAAAACAATCTTTTTGCAAAAATCATTTCAATGCACATAATAACACTGTACCACTTGTACCCGTTAAAGGTTAATCAAATAATTGACACTGGATTCAACAAGCAAACTTATAAATCTGCAATACTGCATTTTACAATCATTCAACCGCCAAGACATGGGTAAAGTACTAGTATTGCCGACTCAGCGTTAAACAATACACAATAAATCAGTCAACATTTTTTTCCAAAATTAATATTGCAGACAAGAAAGAGCAAAGCTCTTGTGCCAGTGGTACAATTGCAGGACTGACTTCTGTTTTGGGAATTTCTTTACTTTTAAATGGTGTCTTAATTTGTTCCTGTTTTACTGGTGTCTGAGGTAGGACATAATTATTATATTTTATTCTTGTTTATCTACATGTACACATTGAACGCTTAACAACTCATATCAATCTATGATATCACACACCACTCGTTTTCAGCTCACCCAAACCCAAGGCTCAAGAAAGCTTTTTTTTTTTATCAAAATTTGTCCACTGTCTGTCGTCGTTGGTGGTGTTGTCGTCGTCGTTGACGTTGTCGTTGTCATAAATTTTTCAGCTTTATCTTCTTCTCAAAAACCACTGGGTCACTTTTCACCAAACTTGCCGCAAATTATCCTTGGATTAAGGGGATTCAAGTTTGCATTATTGAAAAATTAATGTTTTTTTTGAAAATTTTCTCCTAAAAAACTAGTGGGCCATGAAAGATGAAATTCCGGTGGAAGCATTCTTATGTAGTGTTGATTTAAATTTGTTCACATCATGACCATATGGGTAGGTTGGGCTGCAATGGACGGAAATGTATAGAAAAAACTATGAGAATCTTCTTCTTAAGAACAGCAAAGTCAGGTAATATTTATATGGAAGCGGCTGTAGGGGGGTGTATATTCAAGTTTGTTAAATAGGTTGTGGCCAAAGCGGACGATCAAAGTTTTATATAGGAATGTATCTGGAAAATCTTTAACAAACTTCTTCTCAAGAACAGCAAAGCCATGATTGGTAATATTTTTGTTATAGCATCTTTAGGTGGTGTAAACTCAAATTTGTTCAAATCATGACTCCTGGGATAGGTTGAGGCCACGGTTGACATGAAAAATTAGCATTGTTAATTGATAAAACGTCCTCCATATACCTATATCTATATACCTATATACTTATATCTATATACCTATATAGCTATATACCTATATCTAAATGCTAAATCGAAGGTCAAAATGACATCTGAGGATTTTGGTATTTAATCTGCTTGAATGAAAAATAAGATATAAAAAATCTTAAGATGTTTCATGTACATCCAATACTACCGACGTTTCACTATTATTCTTATTAACATTTAAGTAGTTTTACACTTGCAAATTCTATTTCTATGACAAATAAAAATACTTTAAGTTAGTGTCTTTAATTATAAAATAAACTTCAGAAATTAACTGAATATATGGCGTTCTTTTTAAAGAAGGATAGTCTTTTATATTTCAGGAAGACGCCTCTAAAAAGTAATTATGAGAACAGTGAATTTAGTGAACAAAGAACAACAGGACAAGAGACACAGGAAACCAATGTATACCAAGAACTTCAACACGAGAACCAACCTATACAAACCTACCAAAATCTTTCCTACAATAATTAATATCTTATACATTTACTTAATTAATCTTATTGAATAAGTTAAAAAATGCATTGATATTGTTATAGAAAAGTTATATGCAACATTTTGCAAAAAAGAAGAAAAATTGGAAACGTCAGTATAATGAAACAAGACCTTATTCTAACAGTATGTTATGAATTAGAATGTGATTCTTAATCCCCTTTCTCCAACATCGGTCATTTGGGGAAACACTATGAATTACGACTTTGAAAAATATTGGATCTCTGTATCAGATTTGTCCAGGATTACATTAAAATATACTGTATAAACGAGTGTGTATCATATTCTCTGAAATATCTATTTTAGAATCTTAAATAAGTACTAGTATTTCCTTTTAAACACCCAATTATATGTTAACGCCCCCAAAATCTACCCGATTCAAGATCAATAATTTACCGCCTGTCAATCATTAAAAAAAAACAATAGCTTCTGATTTGATTGACAGGTCAGATACCTGTGCTACTTGATAGTCTGAGTTTGTGTCCTTTGAAAACGATTGCCTGGTCACGCGTCAAACACAATGTAGCCGCCTTGTATACACGGGGGTTAAAAAAAGAATTTGGGTAAAATTTTATTTTAAAAACAATTGAGAGTAGATAATTAACACATGACTTCATAAAATATTTCCTTTTAATCTCAACGACTATATTGTATTTTAGGCGATATGTCGTCCAAGATATCTGCTCTGTAGAATTTAGACCAGTCCGTGCAAAGAAACGCTAATTGCCGATTAAAATTGAAATATGATAAATAAGAAAAGATATTTAGCACAAACGGCACGGATAAAAAAAAATCATTTATCCCATGTTTTATCTACTTATATCATATGCATACAATCTTTACCATGTTCCGTTGTAAAGTTCTGAAATGTCACTAGGAGTTTCGAGATTGTAACTTTTAGTTCGAATTTCCTAACATCTGTCAATACCCAATATTCGAAATTAAAAAGTGAACATATACAGCCAAAGATCAATTTTTAAAAGTTTAAAAGAAATCTTGCAAACAATAAAAAAAATTTAAACACACGAATACCCGGAAAAGGTGAATATTTTCGACACTATTGTTGATCAGAACGTAGGCAATATTCCTATCGTGGTACGGTACATTGTATATGTTCACACGACGGATAGGTCTACCTATGAATGGAATATTTTATTTATTTTTTAATTTTGATATTTACACAAGTTTAATTTAAAAAAAGATATGTTTACTTTGTAGTTTTACTCTGTGTTCTTTTCTTTAATTCGTCATTTTTTTTTTAAATATAAAAACGATATTTCTGTATATAATTTTTTTCTTCATTATATATCGCTGGAAGTATTTATAATTTTTGTTCATTGAAATATTTCAATTATTTCAAGTACTTTCACACAAATTTAGACACGAAACACGGAATATTGACCCTAATCACCAGACACAGACTTCCTGTGTAATTCTACGTGTATATAGATTTTTGACATCTTGGGTTTTGGGGGTCTCCAGGTAAATAACACCACTGTTACTAAGACCACTCCCCCTCCTCAGATAACCGTACGGTAAAAAAAAATTGGATCTTTAAAGAAATGATCTGCATTGGATTATAAAGTCAGACGGACAGACATCTAGACAAACAGACACTCTTTATTGCATTCATAATATAGAGATTGGTTCTATCATATTAATTAACATTAAACATCAACAGTGCATAAGTTAATAATATATGTACAAGTGCATTGAACAAAAAAGTTCATGAGCTTTTCTCACAATAAACCCTGAAAAAGTTTTTATCTCTAGCTATAAAAGAGTTTTCATGTCCTTCAGCAAGATACCGACAATATAAAGTTGGTCTATTCCTCTACTGGGATAGTTCCATCTTTTCTAGACCCTAGAAGGTTATTTACCATAAAAGTTCTGGGCAAGTGTGTGAGATCGACATATATGTTTACTGGTAGACAGTTAACAATCAGAGTCATCAGATGTTCGCGGCTTTTGTACAGATTTGGACAGTCTAAGATAAAATGTTATATAATATCCTGTTTACCTCTTTTGCATAATGTTTCAAAGAAGACTTAAATTTCAAAAAAGTAACAATTACGTCTGTTTTTCTTGTCTTCATTGAAAACCACTGTGGAACGTGGAGACCTGTCCTTCGGATGAGACATTAAAAAACGAGGTCTCGTGTCGCAGTAGGTGCTGTCATGAAAAAGATCCCTCCCTGCTCAATGGCCCTATGTGCCGAGTATAAGACAAATTTCCAGCTCTCCAC